GACTGACTGACTGACTGACTGACTGACTGACTGACTGACTGACTGACGACTGACTGTTCAAATCAGGGTGTCCTGTGACTTCCAGGAGGTGTTGCCATTTCCTACAAGAAATGTGACGCAGACTGCGGCCCCATGCTAATGCCAACCCCGAAGACGAGTTTAAGCTTTTTTTTGCCCGGTTACCGGCTGAGAGGGACGCATATGTGATGGTCACGGTCACAGGGCCAATCCTTCATGCCTTGTCTCTCAACTTTTGGGAGTTTCCCCAAAAGTTGGAGGTGACACGTTTGGCCAATCCTGAAGGCCAAAAAGACAACCCATTCCATTCGGAGGATCCCCTTGTCCCAGGTCCACTTCGCACCAGAACGACCAGGCGAACGACTGGGACCGTGTTGATGATCCACTTCATGTGGGTTAGTGAGGTGTGAAGAGTTCACCGGCGCTGGTCCTGCTTGGTTTTTGCCACACGGGGCGGCTAGGGTGATGATCTTGAAGTTGGAACGCAGCAAGTTTAGTCTTTGTGAGGTGCAGGCGATCAATAGACCGTAATCGCATACTGTACCAGTAGGCGACTCCAGATAGCTCTAAGTGGATTAAGGCTTGGGAGAATCCTTTCAAACCATCAGCTGGTGAAGACCGTGAGCAGGTATCAGTAGCTCAGACATCCCAGGGTCCCAGATCCTTTAGAAGGGGTGAATGTGCCCACAAATAACTTGTGGGTGACCCATGGCTGAGATTGCACAGGGTGGTCGTCATGTGTGGTATTCATACCAGGCCATGAGTCAGGCCATGCATTTCAACCAAGATTGATAGCTTTGCCCTGGAAACTGATTCGTTCTTTGGTGCATTTTCTGGGTTCGGCGCCACCGCTTTGCCGAGGCGCCGTCGAAAGGTCACCCTCTGAACCTTCGATGAGGGAACGGTTCCTTGGTGAAGACAGACGAACCGAACGTCCGGGGGCTCGCCCACGCGTGACCGAAACGAAACGGATTGTCGAATGCACACCGAGCTGATGACTGAGTCCAGTTTCAGAAGGGTTCAATCAGGAACTGATGCATTTACTGGAAATCTGTTCAACCCAACTGACCCCTTCTCAAAATAGACCATGACAGTGGCTGTTCCCCAGTTCAACCGGTTCGACTCCGCGCGCCTCGGTCCGAATCTCGGGTCACATCACATGCTGAGCTGGCAAATTGGAAGGAAAACAGCTGAAAAGGAATCGCTTTTGGGATCAATACTGCCAGTTGTATGTGTTTGTTTGGTTGTGGGGAATCTGTGTGTCCTCAGTTTGGTGAACTGGAGGTGAGTACTCACGGATTATATTCGTCGGGTCATTTCGACGTTTTCAGGAGTGACGAGCTGAAGCACAAGAAGACGGTGAACTTTGGTCTCTTGGATGTTTGTGCCGTGAATTTATACACCCAGAAGTCTGGGAGACCGGAGGCCCAATAGCCAGGCCTGCACCCAGTTGCTATGAATTCTGGCCTTTTGTTCCAACAGGTGTACGGTACAGTTCAAAAACCTGAGAGTGGAAGGTTGGCCTTTAAGTCGCTCTCCTTCGGTTCCCATCGACAGCTGTTCAGGGCTGATCCATGGACAGCCGGCGCAAGGGGTATCCAAAGCCTTTGGGTTCAGATGTTTGGAGCGTCTCACCTAGGTTCGACCAAAAAACACCTCAACACACTTTTGCAACGGTTCTCGACGATGTGGGGAGATCTGAGATACCTCTCCAAAGGCTATTGCAAAGCTAGAAATAAACTGTAGCACCAGTATACCACTTGAACCAATCCCAGTGAGTTCCGTGCGTCCTGTTCTTTTTGCCATTCACCCACAATTCACTCCCACCAAACACCAGTGTTCCATTCCCTTTTCCACCCTCTCGTGCCGCACCTACACCGAGGCTACCGCTACAGCATCGTCTTGGGCGAGAGCGAGCGCTTCTCCGCCGGGCGCCGGGTCTCGGAGGTGGAGCGGATCCGACAGATCCAGCAGCGCCAAGTCTGGCTCCAAGACTGCAGGACGCAGCGGTGAACCCGCACACCACGCGGAGAAGGTGGAGAGAACCACCGGAGTAGGTGTTCAACCGGAGTAGGTTCACCGGAGGAACCCTACTTCCGGAAGGGTTTCTGCGGAAAGCGAGTAGGGTGGTGCAAAAATAAGAGGGTGGTTGTGAATGCCCATGTGCGCTACATATTTTGGCAGTAAGGGGAACTGAATGGAATTGATCGAACCATGTTTTAAGGCAACAGAGATTAGCCGGGGAAATGCATCGGTTCCTTAAAGCCGAACCTTTGGAGCATAGAAGCTACTAGGGGCTCCTGGCCTTACTACTAGGAGCAATGTTTACGAGTAGAAACAATATATAGAATTTGATTAGAATTAAGAGTACTGTAATTAGAATCCAATTAAAAGCCAGCTTGGTTTTTCCCTGTCATTTTCCCTGTACCCCTTTCGTGGATGTGAGGAGATGTGTTTGAGTCCAACTCCGGAACCTCCCCCCTGGGTGTGTTTGTGCTTCTTTCTGTTTATCACCTTCCCGGAATCAATGCAGGAACTTGGGCTACGATCCCAACGAGGCCCCACTCGACGCGATGGCGGAGCCGGTGCCCACTGGGCGACAGAGGGCCAAGAGCAACTACAGCGCGGAGGTGTTGGCCCAATCCAACTGTGCGGAGGATATGGGTGCGATGAGGGAGGGGATCGAGTTCTTATCCGAGTTGTTAGGGTCAAGGATTGAGATGATTGAGGAGGCCTTTTGATTCAAATAGATTGAAGAATAGTGAAGCAAATAATATCACTTGTGCCAATGTTCCCATAGGATAAGATAATAATTTGGCGGGTTTTTCGTTTACAACACATGATTGTTTGTTGTTTTTCTGCCTCTTACTACTGTTTGTTGTTTTTACTGCTGTTCCGTTGTTTTTTTTGCTTCTCTATGATCTCTCCTGCTTTCCTTGCTGTTCCTTGCTTCTCAGAGCTTCTTTGCTTTTCGTGCATTTCTGTGCTTGTGTTGCTCATACTTGCTTTTCATTGCTTCTTGGTGAGCCCTCTGTCTTTTCTTGCTTTTGCTGCTGGTGTTGTGCTTGGTTTGTTTTTCATGCCTTTTCTCCTGCTTGGCTTTATTTTCCCTTTTCTCGTCTTTTTGTCGCATATTGCTTCCCTTTCGCAATTGTTTTCTTTCTATGGTCTGTGTTGCTGTCGCTTTTGATGAGTTGTCTTTTAGTCCTTGACTCAGGGAGTCGCAATTAATTGGTTTTTGCTTTTTTTTTGCCTTTGTATGCTTTTCCTACTACTCACCTACTCTTGGTGTTCTGCACCACGGGTGATGCACTGTCTCATGGTTGTTCGCCCTGCGGCCGAAGTTTTGCTTAAGTTTCAACATGACCGCTACTACTAACTAGTAAAGACAACACATGTTTAATATGTTCAATTGTTACTGTATATAACTTATATTAATTCGCCACGTGTTGCAGTGATAGACAGGATGTAGACGCAAGACCAGCACAACCCCACAACAGTGGATGCTAAGGGCCACCCGGCTTTTGCCCTCTCACATATGATGTTTGGACCCATCCACCCCTGCATTGGTGCACTTGTCTTTGGCCCACATCACGTATCATCAACAGCCTCCAACCCTGAAGCATTAACACACACATCTA